GGCTCCATGTAATTTCCACTTTTAATTTTTACCGAACGACCACTTAATTACCATTTTGGATTCCTAACGGGACTACAACAGTGGGCTGTGGTTGAGATATATATATATATAGGCATATAGAGACAGAGAGCGCGGTGGCGGCTGTTGAATAGAAAAAGGGTAAAAGACGGAATCACGCAGCTGTCGGCGGGATTGAAAAAATAAAGGAAGATACATTACACTTCAATATTTGTACGCGAGTCAACAAGTAGTTATCGCTTGATATTGGGCGCTTATGTGTGCATCAATCTTCAAAGACACCAGCATAAAAATTCCTTTCGAGTACATTTGCACTTCACCTCATTATTGGGTGCAAGCCACCCCTTTCTCAACTATACAATTTACACAAACTACGCTAAACTTGATGATCTGCTCCACCTTTTTCTCAAATATTCTTCAACAGAAAGAGGGCTGCTCTGCTCCATACTGCTGAATGATGTAGAATTGTCATTTACGTCAAGAAATGCAAGGCTTAAATGGGATGCTGCACTTGAATCTGGATAAACTTCATCATCATTATCATCCAGGTTCTCGAGATCATTGTGATTTCCGTATTGGGATTTTAGTTCTTCATTCACACATTTTCCCCCAGTTAAGATACCTAGTATCTGAAATGTAGACAGGGAAATACAACCTTAATGCCAATCGTCAAGAAATAAGCCCTAATCTCAATTCCGAAAGCAATAATGAACGAAACGAAAAATAGAAATGTACAGAGAGAATCACAGAGATATCAAGTGGTTGACCCTCGGCGTGAGAGCTACATCCTTTCATGTTCCCATTCACAAGGTAGGAAACTAGGGCGACCTAATACAATCATAAGACAGTACAAAAGTTCTGATCTGGAAGAAAGAACTTCTTACCTGGGACATTTTTGGACGCAGACGGGCCGCTTGTTTTAGGCAGAGATTTGCTGCTAGAGCCATTCTTTGCATTTGATCCTCAACAATTTCATCTTCCAAATTTGGATCCAATATGCCTTTTAGATCTCCACTTTCTAGTCTAGGTTTTGCCTGAATACAGAAGTTATTCTATGTATTCCATACAAAACTAATGGAAAAAAAGAAAGTTTTATGTTGCAAATAGATTCTTACCCACATGACTAAGCTTTCTTGACCTTTCGGTGTCTCCAAACCAATTGATTTTCTTCCTGATAGCAATTCTAGTAGAACTACACCGAAAGCATATACATCAATCTTGTCACTGACCTTCCCATACATAAAATACTCGGGAGCAAGATAGCCAAAGGTCCCTACTACGTCTCTGTCAGTTAGGAAAGATGCTGATGTAGGGCCCCATATTGCCAATCCAAAGTCACATAACTGTTCAAGAATGTAAACATTATTCCAAAAGGTCTGAACGTTGATTTGTGATTACTATAGCTATGAATCTAAAGAACTACCTGTGGTTCTAATTCATCGGTGAGAAGAATGTTCGAAGACTTGACGTCTCTATGAATTACAGGCCTTGGACATTCATTGTGTAGGTAATTTAGTGCTTCAGCAATCCCAACAGCTATTTTGAATCTTACTTCCCATTGCAAAACAACATTTTCCTTTCTGTTACCTGCTTTGGCAATCATATTAGGAAGTGCATGTTTAGAGAGTTATTAAGAGAAAAAGATGCATCCTCCTTAAACTTACCGTGCAAATTCTCTTCTAAATTTCCTTTAGACAAAAAGTCATAAACAGAGATTAAATTAGTACGCTCTACACAAATCCCAAGCAATGGTGCTATTCTTTTGTGCTTCAATGTGGTCATTATATCAACTTCCAGCATAAAATCCTTCCATGCTTCCTTTGATGACCTCAAAATCTTTATTGCTACTTGTTTGCCATCAGGAAGAAGCCCCTTATATACAGAGTTACACCCTCCTTGTCCAATAAGATTGGCTGCAACAATTAAATGAACAGAAGTTTAAAGTTTCAGAAAGGGAGTCGAAAAATCAAAAGGAGAAAAAGACAAAGCTTTGCTCAACACAATCTAACCTGCAGAGAAATGAGAAGCTGACATTCTGAGCACATCATAGCTGAACCATTTGCAGCTATGTGGATTCGTTTTGAGTATCAGCTCCAACTCTTGGGGCAGCCCTTTGAGACTATACATTTTGTCTACTTTACCAGTGGCTGTAAAATTTCGGTTATCTATTCCCAAAACATCACCCATTTCATCAAGTGTGGACTTAGATTCAGAAATATCTAGCAAAGATCGACTTGGTAAGCTCATTACCCATTTTACCACCGACATTTTTTTTGCTTCAAGGCTTGGTTGAGTTATAGAACTAGCTGTTTGGAGTAGGGGCCAACCTGGCCTCTGCTGAGTAAAATCCTCTGCAGGAAGAGAAATCGAACTAAGAGAACCTTTTTTGTGTCTTCCAACAGCGCTAAAAACTTCATCCTTGGAGGTCAGAATCCCATCATAACTGAGCCTTCCAATCTCTGATATGTCAGATTCACCAAATTCAGATAGATTATCTTTGAAAGTGGGGTTTACAGTTAAACTCGGCTTTGAATCTTTTCTAGGACCTGACATCATCAAAATATATTCAGCATGTATTGAATCATCAACGAAATATTTTCTCGCTTACTATAGAACAGGGTCTGCACCTTCCGGTTGGTTTGTGGAATTTCTACTGAAAACAACCTTTCCATTGTGAACTGCCATGACTTCAGTCGTAGAAGGAAGTCGCCTTGCACAATATTTAGCAATTGAAGACCAACCCCTGAGAAAAGCTTCTTTCAAGACTCCAATAGAAATATTGAAGGAAAACAAACTACGCAAATGGCCAAATACCATTATCATTTTCTACTTACCCGAGAGCAATAAACTTAGTTATCCCCACTATAACAGCTGATGCAGAATGGTTCTTTGCTTCTCTCACCAGAGCTTTTCTGATAGAATTTCCTTTCAAGACCTCAGCACTGAGAGCAACCTGAACACCCCCACCCCCACGGCCCCCACCAAAAAATTGACTAAAGAAATCAGAAGTTGATGATGGTTCCACTTTATCCTTAGAAAGAGACCAAACACTAAAAAAGAAAAACTGAGAGAAATCTACCTGCTTTTGGTTACACAGCCCTCTATAGTCTTCCAGATAATCATCCAATAAAGCTTTCTCTCTCGAAATGGAATCTGTAATGAGAAAAATTGTGTAACAATTCAATAGCTACAGGTAATTTAGAATTCGAAGCAATTTACAAATGTCCATGCCAGTACCAGAATTCCTACAAACATGAATGGCAATCACGCAATCTGCTGGATCAGCTACTTTCACAACAGCCCAATCCATTAACTCTTTA